AGATTGAAAAAATACTTTTGGCTTTGATTTTCAAGGTGGTTTTCATAGCAATTATTCAACTCTGTAGCTGAATAACTGTATATTACTGTAGTGTATCAAGCTATAAACAATACAAACAGATATGGTTAGAGTCAGTTAATCTTTTTGTTTAAAATTTTTTCCTTAAATTCATTTATTTAATGTGTGTATATGGGAAGAGCATGCCATGGAGTGTGTGGGAGTCAGAGGACAACTTGCGGAAATAGGTTCTTTCCTTCTACCATATGGGACCTGGGACTTGAACCCATGTCATCAGGTTTGGTGGCAACTGCCTTTATAACTGCTGCACCATCTCTTTGGCCCCAATAAAATTTTATATACAGGAAAAAATAAAAAAAACAAAAAGAAAAAAGAAGAAAAAGGTGGCTGGCTGGGTTGGCCACTGCTGTGGTTTGCCAGCAACTGTTTGCTGGTGCCATGATGATGAAACAGTGAAAGGGACATGTAAACTATGTCCAGTCTACCCCTCTGAATGCCTCATGTTGACCAGACCTCTACTAAAATTTATGTTGAGGCCCAAGCAGAAAGAGGATAGGAAAAAAAAAATGCACAAGTAGAGTTCAGTCAAAATATTTTATAAGCTAAGTGACAACCAGCCTGGTGAGAAGGGTGAGGACTAAGAGGAAGAGGTGGTGTTGGTACAAGGGCTGCAGGAGCTTATTCTCACCCAGCACCACGTTCATCCTCTGTTCTTACTGAATACTGTAAAGAGCATGATTTTTCTCTGTCTACTTTGTTGTTGTTCCTTTGTTTGTTTGAGAAAGGGTCTTATATAGCCCAGGCTTGCCTTGAATTTGCTATACAGCTTAGGATGACCCTGAACATCTCATTCCCTCTGCCTTTATATCCTGAGGGCTAGGATTACAGGTGTGTCGTGTGCCCCACCCCCCACCGAACATTACAAGGGAAGTTTCTTTATATTATTATGGCAAAAGCCAACCAGAACAATTTGCTTTCCCAAAGAAGCTCAAGCAGCCTTATCCACATGTGGTTCCTAAGGAAATACTAATCTAACACCAGGGCTTATGATACCCTGGGAAACATCTCACCTGATGGATGTTGGCCTCCTGTACTTTGATCTCTTGAGGACTGGATCGAGATGGATTCAGGAAGTAGCCATGGTTTTCTATCACACCCGGAGTCTTTAACAAACAGGAGATATTCAGAATGACTCCCAGCAAGGTCTTCTGATACATCTGCCCATTACTAGGGTCCTTAGGCTGAATGTATTCAACAAAAACCTGTAGAAAAGGACAAATCCTACTTGTTCACTGTATGGTAAGATAGAGGGATGGGATGCAAGGGTCTCAGAGAGGTAGACAACCAATCCATCTTTTTTTCTTTTATTCTATAGGACACACCCACCCACACCCACCTTCTTACTTCCACTTCCCAAGTGCTGGGATTATAGATGTGACACCCAACCATGCCCAGTTTTTTTTTTTTTTTTTTTTTTTTTTTGAGACAGGGTCTCCCTGTAGCCTCAGCTGGCCTGGAACTGGCCATGTAGACTAGGATGAACTCAATCTTACAGAGATCTGTCTGCTGCTGCCTCCTGAGTGTTGGGCTAAAAGGTGTGTACCACCATGCCTGGCATGCTTAGCTTTCTATAGGCAGTATTACAGTGCTCTCAGGATAGGAAGCATTAAGTATCAGGTTGTCAGCTTAATAAATACATACTGCTTTTCAGACCTACCTTTGCCATATCCTTTTGCCTAGTGAAATAGAGAAGAATATCCAGATATGCATACAGTAGGATCTGGCAGAGCTCCAGATCTTTTACTCGGCCTAATAAAATATCAAACACTGGGATCATGACTTCAGGAAATGTTCGAACTTCCTCATCCAATAGCAAGGCTTGAATAACCTCTTCTAAAAACTCAGTTACATCTTCAAAATCTAACAGAAGACAAATGAGAAAGAAAGGAGGCCATGGGGAGTTTTTATGTCGTTACCTTTGTCCTTCCTCCCTTTCTCCCTTCCCTCTCTCTCTGTGTCTTTCCTCTTGGTGCTAAGGATCAAACCCAGGGCCTTGTACATGCTAGACAAGTGCTTTGCTATTGTTCTACCACTGAACTACATGCCCAGCTCCATACCTTGGTTCTTTATGATATTTTTGATAATTCTACTTTATTGGAGCTTAAAGATCAAGATGTAAACTTGTGATGGTTTGAATGAAAATGTCCTCCATAGGTTCCAAGTATTTAAACATTTTTGTCTCCACTTGGTGACACTGTTTTGGAAGGTCTTAGAAGGTGTGGCTATGCTGGAGGAAGCACATCACTGAGGGTGGGCTTAGAGAGTTCTTAAGCCTTGTGGGATCTCCAGTTGCTCTCCGTTTCCTGTGCCTGCTTGAAGACGTGAGCATTCTGCTCCTATTCCAGCCACCTCTGCTGCCATGCCTCCCTGCCATGATGGACTCTTGTCCCTTTGGAACCGTAAGCTAAATAAACTCTTCCTTTTGCAAGTTCCTTGGTCATGGTGTTTCTATCAGAGCAACAGAAAAAGTAACTAACAGACCTGTCTTCCTTAATCTGTATCAGAACTGTATGGGTCTGAGACTTTCTAAAACAATTAGAGGAATTTGAAATTTGGAACTCAAAATGTAGAAGTTCAAAGACCTTGCTTATATACTCACGGGCTCCTTGGATGGCTTCCAACATCAAATCTACCAGTTGCTCATGGATGTTTTGATCAACATAGATCTCAGGGGTGAGGAGAACTGTTCGAGTGTTAGACACAGTGAGGTTCCTGCATTGTACTGCAAAGGGTAGCAGATTCTCTGGAACTTTGGTAATCTGCAAACAGCATGAAGAGAGAGAAGCATATAGCTTTTATAACATGGAACAAGAGTAGACACTGCAAACAGAATGGAAAATATATCATGTCCCCAGACTGGTTTCTTGTGGATTGAAAATTCATGACAAACTTGCTCTTTGGCTTAAGGACTCACCTCCCAAAATTCTAATCCTGAAAATGGCAAGTTTAGCTTACTTTAATATTTTCATCTCATTGGAAATGATATTCTTAGATCTGGATTTTTTTTTTTTTTTTTTTTTTTTTAGAGTTTTGCTATATAGCCCAGGTTGGCCTAGAACCTAGAATTCACTACATAGACCAGGCTGGCTCTGAACTTGTGGGAATCCTCCTGCCTTTGCCACCTGAGTGTTGGGATTATAGTCCTGTGCTCACACCTGGTGGATCTGGTGGGGTGGTTTTGGATCTGGTGGGGTGGTTTTGGATCTGGTGGGGTGGTTTTGTTGTTTCTTTTCTTTTTAAGGATGTAATTTCTAAAGGGGTTTGTGTAGAGAACAGAGGCACTGGTTAACTGGGACTAGAAATGGATTCTAAGCCACAGAAAAGAGATTAAAGCTTTATAAGACAATCTCATAATGCTCCTGACACCTAGTTACAGATATACCATGATGGAGATACACACACACACACACACAAACGAGAAACACTGATCTACCCCTGACTTACACGCTGAAGTTATACTCAAGAGAAAATAAAATTTGATGGGGATTCCTTTACCTCTTCCTTAGCTCTCTGGAAGCAGGAGTAAAGGTAACAAAAAATGTGCCTCTCCCCTGCATCTCGATCAGCAGAGAGATTTGATGTTGTAGAAGAAGTCATGTTGATTAAGTGGTTTCCTGGATCTTGAAGTAACAATCGTGCAAAGATAGCCTATTAAGAAAAATAAGCAAACAAAAATACTAAAGTTATCGCAAAGTTAATCTTAGAACATTAAGGTAGAAAAAGTAATTTTGCTATGTATTTTGGCAAGAATCAGGTGTGGTTTAGGGTAAAGAAGGAAAAAGGATTCCATATCTTATTACTTTAGAAAATGTTTGAAAACAATTGTAAATATAGCTAGTGCAAGTTAAGCATCAAGTGTCTGGGATAGTCCCAGCAGAGTAGGCACCAAAAAGTTACTTGTTGAATGGTGTTAAGAATCAGTAATACTTATCTGTGAAATCTACTATTTTGTGTGATTGCTGGGCTTACAAAGATATTTTATATGTAGTTAAATGCCAAGTTATCAGTGTCTTCCCCATTAAAGTTTTTTTTTTTTTTTTGTCTTTTTGAGACAGGGTCTCCCTGTAGCCCCAGCTGGCCAGGAACTCACTATGTAGACCAGACTGGCCTTGAACTCACAGAGATCTGCTTGCTTCTGCCTCCCAAGTGCTGGGATTAAAGGTGTGCACCACCACGCCTGGCCCCCAAAGTTTTATTCTCTAGTGTTAATCAGTTCTTGAAAGGTACTGTGCACCGACTCTGATTTGGATCATAGACTATGATCCATAGTACCATCATAATCTCCTGAATGTCTCCCCCAAAAGGCCCATGTGGTAAAAGCTTGGTCTCTGGAGTGATTCTATCAGCAAGTGGTAGACTCTTGAGGAGGAGGGGGCTAGCATTAGGGGCTTAGGTTATTATTGGAAGCATACCCTTGAAGGAAATTCCAGGACCCCAGGTTCTTCCTCTTTCTCTTTGTTCCCTGGCTCTCGATAGAAGTGGTTTTGCTCTATCACATGATGCCACAGGTCCCAGTGTAGCTAATGGATTATGGATCAGAATGTACAAAACTAAGGGCAATAAACTTTTTCTAAGTTGCATATCCTAGGTATTACAGTACAGCGATAGAAAAGTGCCTAACATAGCAATGCTTTTTGTGTATGACTACATGTTTGTGTACACAGAGGCCAGAGGAGTGTATCAGGCGTCCTGCCCTATAGCTCTCCACCCAGTTCCCTTGAGACAGGGTCTCTCACTAAATCTGGACTCACTATTTTTCAGCTAGGCTGGCTGGTCAGCAAGCTCCCAGAGTTGCTTCTACCTCCACTCTCTCTGGGCCCCAGCACTGCAGTTATTGGTTCAGGTGGTCTCACTTGGCTTTTTGTGGGTGCTGGGGATCCAAACTTAGGTATTACTTCTACTTGCACAGGAAGTGCTGTTACCCACTAAAGCCAACTTCCCAACCCTACTCTGATTTTTGAAAGTATGTAACAAAGAAAAAGATGGGCCTTACCTTAGGAATTTAGAGTCTAATAGGAGTAATAAGACAGGCATATGAAAAAGTCACATGAGATAGTGATAATTCCCATAAAAAATACATAGAAGATGAGGAACTCAGAGGAGGGAGTAAATCCCTATCTGGCAAGCTTTGATGGTATTTTAACTGGTTCTTAAACAATGGGTGGATTTGGACATGAGGACAGGGTGGATGGGAAGAGACCAGTGAAGAATACCACAAACAATGGAAGAGACAGAGGTAAGCAAAGTCATGGTTGAAGAATGGACAGCATCCAGTGCATGGCTAACTTTTGAGGGCACCTATCAGGAGTGGTACCTGCTCAATGTTGCTCATGTCAAGCCAGTCTTGATCTTCCAGTTCTACTGCCATTTCTTCCAAATACACACAGCGACTGGGGATACCATTCCCACTTTTCAAGCTTGGATCACCTGTGAAATGGTTTAGTCTGACAGGTTAAGGATAATGCTCCCAGCCTTATGACAACTGTTTTCATTTCATTTTGTTTTTTGGGATGGGGCTTGCTATGTTGCCTAGACTGGCCCTCAACTCTTAGGCTCCAGTGGTCACTCCTGACTCAGCCTCCGTGGCAGTGGAGACTAAAGGCATATACAGCTGCACTCAGCTCCAGACAACTGACTGTGATAATGTGTCTCTTGAACTATCCCAAACTTGACTCAGGGTAATCCTAAAAAGTAGTTACAACCACAGCTTTGTTACAAACCTCTCATTATGACATTTAGAGAGTAAATTCTGGACATCTGTTTTAACTTTAGGGTTTCATTACAGATAGGGAACAGAGGTAGAACACTGACACTGCTCAGACCCTCCACCAGAGAAGAAAATGGGTTTGGCTACTATTTCTACTTCCTTTTTAAGGTAGTAAATGTAAATACTACACAACCAGTCAGTACCAAGTTGGCAACATTGTTAGAGCCATCGAAATACTGTTTTTAGGTAATTCAAAAGCTTTACTGAGGGGCTGGAGAGATGGCTCAGCAGTTAAGAGCACTGGTTGCTCTTCTAGAGGATCAGGTTCAGTTTCCAGCACCCACATGGTAGCTAACCACCACCTGTAATTCTAGTTCCAGGGAATCTGATGCTGTCTTCTGGCCTCTGTGGACATTGCATGACATGGGTACACTTACATGCAGGCAAAACACTCATACACATAAAATAGAAATAAGTAAATTTTTAAATTTTTACTGAAACATCAACCTTGTATTTCAGGGAGTACAGTGTTGGTTTTAACCATTAGACAAAATAGTTTTTTAGAGCCAAAGTTGTCCCTAGCCCAAACCAAGTAGGAAGGGTGAATAATCAAGATTTACTACAAGTCTATAACTCACTGTTGTCCAGAGTAATGAGGAAGATCCTTTGGATCATGTGATTGATGTTGAGTTGTTCACATATTTCCTGCTGTGACCGGAATGAGCGGCTGATCTCAGACACAGAGTAATCAAATTCATCCAGGCTCTCTGACACACTATTATCCGAGTCATCTGGGCTTGCTGGGAGTTCATCTGCCAGAACATGTAAGCTGTTAAAACACTGCACTTCTCTCTCTCTTCCCCCTTCCCTTTCTTTCTTTTTTGAGACAGCGTCTCCCTGTAGCTCCAGCTAGCCTGGAACTCACTATGTAGACCAGGCTGGCCTCCAACTCAGAGATCTGCCTGCCTCTGCCCCTTTGAGTATTGGGATTAAGGGTGTGTGCCACCACGCCTGGCTGCACTCTGGTCTTAGAACCAAATAAACTACCCAAAGTGATGACTGTAACCAAGAGGAGGAGAATTTAGGATGTGAAGCAAATTATTCATCTCATTAGTGGTCATTTCAATTCAGGCAAGGTAAGTGTATGATTCTGAAATCCCTGACTGTAAGTCTTACGTTTTACACTGTAAGTTTATTACTTCCTCTCCTAATCATACTCTACCGGCCAGAATTAGCAACATCACATCACTTTCCCTGTCGAATCTAGGTGAAAAGGTATGACTTAATAGAGCAAAATGTCTATGGCTTTTTCCTTGAGAACACATTTGTTTTTATAATTCCAAAGTCAGGAATATATCATATAGAATATATTCCCTACAGATAGCTGCTTAACTTAGCTGTGTTCCCTATTCTTATGCTAATGTTCATTACTTTTTTTCACGACTTTTTTCCTTATTCTTATGCTAATGTTCATTACAATGATTTTTTTTGTCATGTCTGTGTGTTGTGTCCGTGTGGTGTCCACCCCCCCCAAGCTGAGGACTGAACCCAGCCAGGGCCTTGCACTTGCTAGGCAAGCATCCTATCACTGAGTTAAATCCCCACCCCTATGATGATTTTTTTTAATTAAAAAATGAGATTGTGTTTTTAGCTGACTTAAAAAACAAAACAGTTTTATTTATTTGTGTGTGTGCATGTGGGGTAGGGCACACCAAGTTGTCAGTGTATATGTGGAGGAAAGAAGACAACTTGCTGGAGTCAATTCTTTCCTTCCACCACGTGGGTCCTGAGGCTTGACCTCAGGTCATCAGGCAAGGTTGCTGGCACCTCTACCTGATAAGCCACCTCACCAGGCCATTTAAAAAGAAATATTTATAGGCCGGACATGGTGGCACATGCCTTTAATCCCAGCACTTGGGAGGCAGTGGCAGGTGGATCTCTGTGAGTTTGAGGCCAGCCTGGTCTACATAGTGAGTTCCAGTACAGCTGGGGCTACAGGGAGACCCTGTCTCAAAAAGACGAAAAAAAAAAAAAAAAAGAAATATTTATTTTATTTTTAAGTGCATGTGTGGGTGTGAGTTTGTGCATATGAGAGCAGTGCCTACAAAAGCCAGAAGCTTCAGAATTCCTGGAGCTGGTGTTACAGGTGGTTGTGAGCCACCTGATGTAGGTGCTGGGAACCAAACTTGGGTCCTAAGTGAGAGCAGCATATGCTTTTAACTGCTGAGCCAGCCTCACCTTAAAAAATAATTAAACAGGGGCTGGAGAGATGGCCCAGTGGTTAAGAACACTGGTTGTTCTTGCAGAAGACCTGGGTTTGAATCCCAGCACCCACATGGCAGCTAACAACTGTCCGTAACTCCAGTCCCAGGGGATCCAACAGCCTCTTCTGACCTCTGTGGCCACTGCATGACACAGGTGCACTTACCTACATGCAGGCAATATACCCATACACATAAAATAAAAATAATGAAAAAAAAATAGATCTGTACCATACTTTAAAACATTTTATGTATGTATGTATATATGTATGTATGTATGTATGTATGTATGTATGTATGTATGTATGTATGTATGTATATGTGTGGGTGTACACATTTGAAGGTAATAGGACAACTTTCAGGAGTCAGTTCTCTATCATGTGGGTTCCAGCAGATCATCAGGACTGGCGGCAAGTCTTCTACCCACTGAACTGTCTCCTGGACTGTCAACTGGCCTTTAACTTATCAACACCAATACTTTTCCCTGTAAGTCATCCAAAGCCTACCTCATTCTACTTATTCATTCTTTGTGGTACTGGGGTCTGGTCCTGGGGCTTCATAAATACTACAAAAGCACTTTACCAACTGAGTTACATCTATTTTTTTTTTCTTGAGACAGTCTCATATAGCTTAGGCTGGCCTTGAATTTGCTATGGTAGTAGATAGCCTGCCTCAGCCTCTTGAGTGCTGGGATTAACAAGGCATGTGCCACCAAGTCTAGTTACCTCACTTCTCTTTGTTTGGCATTGGGGGTTGAACCCAGGGCTTTGCACACGCTGGACAATGCTCTACCACTGAGCTACATATCCTCAGACTTCTTTTTGAGACAGGGTCTCCCTAAGTTGCTTAGGCAGGTCTTGAACTTGTGACCTCTTGCTTAAACCTCCTGAGTAGACAGGATTGTAGGCCTGCACCATCAGGCCCAGTTCATCTCATTTCTTTTAATAGCTAAGTGTAGTTATTATGATTTACATAGCCACTTAAACTCCATGTTTGTTCATCAGATGATAAACATGAGGACTGCTTCTAATTTTCTTTTTAAAAAAATTATTTATCTTTATTTTATGTGGGTGTTATGCCTGCATGTGTACAAGTGCACCTGTGTGGTGTAGTATGCAGTGGACAGAAGAGGGCATCGGATCCCCTGAAACTGGAGTTACTTGGGTATTTCTCTAGTATATATTCATAGAAGCAGAATTGCTAGTTCAAAGATCTTAAGCATTTTAGTGCCAGTGAGATGAATTAGAGGGTAAAGGCACTTGCTGAAAGCCTGGTGACCTGAGTTTGATCTCTGGAACCCATATGGTAGGAGAGAACTGAACATGTAAAGTTATCCTCTGACCTCTGAGCTTGTACACTCATACACAAAATATAATTTTTTAACAGCTTAAGTATTATTCTCAGAGCATGTTTTTCTCTTTGTGCCTACCCATGAGTATAAGAGAATTTATGATTTTTTTTTTTGAGACAGGGTATTACTGTGCAGCCCTGGCTGGCTTCAAACATACTCTGCCTCTGCTGCCTGGGTGCTGGATGTCTCTTTGAATCTAAATAAAATCTGATCTGATTACAAAGGCAGCCATGGGACTGGAGGACTACACTGAAAGGAGGGCATTCATGGAGGAAAGGCCTACATAACCAAGAGAGTAAGAAAACAAGCAAAGGAAACGGCTTGAGTATTGCCATCCTTGAATAAGGAAGGAGAACATGGACCGTCAGCAGCATGAGCAACAGAAGGCACATTTAATTGGGTTGTTCTGAGAACTGTTCCCAAACCAACTCAGCATGGCCTGTGGAGGAGGAGGTGCGCATGGCCAGCCTGCTTCAGTGATACTTTCTCGGTTTAGTTCTCCAAGTCTCTTTACCTACAGAACCTGCATCCAGAATATATGCATAGTGTCTGACTTTTTCTACCCAAATATGGACAGCATGGAAAGCCACATTTACCAGCTTTCTCAGTGCCTCATTGAAAGAAGGCACAATTTCATAATTGTCACCTATGCTTATGGAGATTGAAAAGGCATCTGCTACTTCAGTAATGGCCTCAAAGTTTATTACTTGCCTTTCAGAGTCATGTACAACCAATCTACACCCATCACTTTCCTCCTGCACAGTCTGCCATTGCTCAGGCACATATTTGTTCAGGAGAGAATTACGATAATCCATTCCCACAGTTCTTTCTCTGCCATGGCCCATGATGCTCTCTTTCATGCCAAGACAATGGGGCTCCAGACAGTTTTTACAGACCATTCCCTTTTTGGATTTGCTGATGTCAGCTCGGTGCTTACAAACAAGCTTCTAACTGTGTCTGTTTGTGACATAAACCACATCATTTGTGTCTCTTACACTAGTAAGGAAAATCCTGTACTATGAACAGCACTGAATCCTGAAATAGTACCTGTTATTCCTAATGCTATAGATCCTACTGACTTCACTCCAGAACCATGTAGAAGGCATGACAGTGTAATAACTATTGTTGTTGTCTGCAGACTTGTTTACAGAAAAGGGATTGATTTGCTTAGCGGTATAATACCTGAACTCTGTCAGAAATATCCTGGATTAAATTTCCTAATTGGAGGAGAAGAATCAAAGAGGATTGTTTTGGAAGAAGTATGGGAAAGATACCAACTACATGACAGGGTGCATCTTTTGGGAGCTTTAGAACACAAGGATGTTAGAAATGTCTTAATTCAAGGACATGTTTTCCTTAATACCTCCTTCACTGAAGCATTCTGTATGGAGATTGTAGAAGAAGCCAGCTGTGGTTTACAGGTTGTAAGCACCAAGGCTGGTGAAATTCCTGAAGTACTTCCGGAAAATCTTATTACCTTATGTGAATCTTCAGTAAAATCTTTGTGTGAAGAGTTGGAAAAAGCTCTTTTCCAAGTGAAGTCAGGGACATTGCCAGCTCCAGAAAAGATCCATAATGTAGTAAAGACCTTCCACAACTGGAGGAATGTGGCAGAGAGGACTGAGAAGGTGTGTGAACAGGTAGCAAAGGAAACCATGTTGCCGATGCATAAGAGACTGAACAGGCTCATCTCTCACTGTGGCCCAGTTACAGGCTCCATTTTTGCTCTGCTAGCAGTGTTCAGCTATCTCTTCCTCATTTTCCTGAGATGGGTGACTCCAGTTTCCATCATTGATGTGGCAATAGATGCTACTAAGCCAAGGGGAGTCTGGATTCATCAATGTCCTCACGATAAAAATGAGGCTGAGAATGATAGGTATCCCAAACCAGGTAGAAACAAGTCTGAGATGTAAAGTTTAGACCCTTGTAACAATTCTATTAACATGGTTGTAAATAATCATGCTCTTTTGTTTCTGGGTTTTAAAGCTAATTTTAGTAAACTATGCTATCTCTACATCAGTTACTGTTTTATTTGAGGAAAGGTAAACACGTATGCAATTTCTGAGTATGGAAACTCTTGCACTTCTTTAAAATTCAGGGGAGAAGAGTTAAGTCACTCAAGTATGAAAAGCTCTCAGATTACGGAAAACCCTCTAGTAGAGATATTTTAACATTATATTTTTGACGCTTTGGGTACTAAAGGGCCAAATGTTTTTGGATCTTTTTTGAGCCAGTTTTCAATGTTATACCATTAATTTGACATTTACCAGCCTTCTTTAGGGAGATACAAGTATTTGAACTGTTTTAAGTCAAGTTCATGTTTTTTTTTTTTGGGGGGGGGTCTTCTTGTAGCTCCAGTTGGCCTGAAACTACCTATGTAGACCAGGCTGACCTTGAACTCACAAAGATCAGCCTGCCTCTGCCTCCCAAGTACTGGGATTAAAGGCATGTGCCACCATGCCTGGCTAAGTTCTTGTATTTTTAATTGGACAATGAAGTTATGCTCTTGGATTCTTGTTGGGTCCAGTGTTACATGAAATCTGACTTCTTGAGCAAGATGCTCTATTGGTTACCAGCATGTCTGGATGGTTCCTGTCACTAAGGACTAGTTAACATGAAGTTGTAAAATAGCCAACATGACAAAAAAGTTCAGGCTACTTAATGACAGTTAGTCATCACTGGCACAACTCTGATCCTGTTGTGAGCATTCTTGTGGATGGAACCTTTGACTTCATGTTTATATGAAGAGATATTGCTCTTCAGTTCTAGGGACTAGTACAACCGTTGATGCTAGTACAGACAAACCCTCTGCTTTAAAAAAAGCATTTACTATTATTGTATGTGTATAATATGTATGTTGGGTAGAACAGAGTTTCTACATCCTGACTTCAACTATCAGTGTTGCACTTATAACTATTTAAAAATGAAATTAACATTAATGAGGGATTTACTAGAAGGATTTTGTATTGCTTTTGATGTTACAGTTACATACAGAAAAGTCGTCTGTTAAAACATGCTCATTTGCAAAACTAAAGATGAGAGAATGACATTTAAAAAATATTTTATTATTTTTACGTATATGAATATATTGCCTGCATGTATGTGAGTGCACCCATGTCATATGCCTGTCCATGGAGGTCAGAAGAGGGCATCCAATTCCCCTGGAACTGGAGTTACAGATGGTTGTTAGCTGCCAGGTGGGTGCTGGGAATCGAACCTGGGTCCTGTGTAAGAGCAACTAGTACTCTTAACTGCTCAGTCATCTCTCCAGCCCAAGAATGACATTTTAAACAAAAAATGACCCAATTGTTTAAAACTTTTTAATTACATTTACTGTGTGTGTGCACGTTGTATGTGCGGTTGCACGCTTGCCACAGAGCATGTGCAAGGTGTCTCCACCACGTGGGTCCAAGGGCATGAACTCAGGTTGTTACGCTTGGCAGCAGGTGTCTTTACCTGCTCAGCCATCATGCTGGCCTCTAATTGTTGTTGTTGTTTTTTTTTTTTAATTTTTATTTATTATTTTTATTTTATGTATATGCATGTATTGCCTGCATGTAGGTAAGTGCACCCGTGTCCTGCAATGCCCATGGAGGACAGAAGAGGCTATTGGATCCCCTGGAACTGGAGTTACAGACAGTTGTAAGCTGCCACGTGTGTGCTCGGATTCAAACCCAGGTCTTCTGCAAGAACAACCAGTGTTCTTAACCACTGAGCCATCTCTCTAGCCCCTCTAATTGTTGTTTTAATGGCATTTCTCTATTGAGATTGGATTTTTCATCATTTGATATACAAGTTGCTTATCTTTTGTTCTAGTTTTTCTATTTGGTTATTTTTTTCTTATTGACAGAATCTCTTTATTGTTTCATAAAGCAACTCTAAAGACTGCCTCCCAGAAGGGCACTTACATGGAATGCCCTTATAAAAGAAGTGTTTTTCGGCCAGGCGTGGTGGCGCACATCTTTAATCCCAGCACTAGGAGGCAAAGGCAGGTGGATCTCTGTGAGTTCAAGGCCAGCCTGATCTACATAGTGAGTTCCAGGACAGCTGGGGCTACAAGGAGACCCTGTCTCAAAAAAAAAAAAGTGTTTTTCACTCAAAGCCACAGGTGGAGAGGGGTACAACTGCTTTTCTTTATTGACAAAATGGTTATCCTGAAAATCTGGGCCAAACTCTCAGAAGAGATGCTTCCATGTGATGATTTCAGTAGAAGAGAAACTCAGGAGAGAAGGCCAAAGGTTCTGGCTAATTACTGGTAACAAACAGGTTGGACCTGGTGGCAGGAGGACATTGGTATAAACAAACTCAGATGATGAGGTGCCAAAATAGTAACAGAAGGGCATGTGTCTGTCTCATTCTCACTGCTCTCGGCTCCTGCCAGCCTTACTTCTGTTTACGACTGATTACAAAATTAGCTTTGGACTTATTTTTCTCTTGCTTCATCCATAACCCTGTCTACCCCTAATCTACTATGCGTTTACCTGCTTTTTCAGTCCTAATCACAAAGCAAGGCCAAAACCCAGAGATGCATCTGAACTGTTTTCTTTGCAAATAAACGAAGAGAAAATGTAAAGCATTTCTCCTTTTATCAAAAGAAAAAGCACACTGTTCTCTTTTGGGAGGGGGATCATATCTAGTTTGAAAAAATCCATTCTAATTCTTTTAGTCAGTCTCCAGAGAGGAGGAAGCTGTACTCAATCTTAAATTCAGTCCCAGATGAGGAAAACCATTTTTTCTGGTTAGTGAGAGATTATTCTGATTTTTTTCATATTAAAGCTAAGAATTAGATCCTTAGCAGTTTGTCCTAACAGCTGTGAGCTACAAAGGAGGCCACTCCATGGAACAGAAGATGTACTTTTCCTGGGAGGCCTTATGGAGTATTGAGCTTAAGAGTAACTCTTTTGTGAAAAGGTCAGGAAGCTTTTACAATTCTTTCTTTTATAACTGCTTTCTAAAGCTGTATGTGGCTTGTTTTCCAAACCTACATGTGCTACTTCAATTTTCTATGTTAAAAAGATGACTTATTTTAAAAGTTACTACTAGGCAATTAAAAAACAAAAGTTAACAGTTTGACAGCTTTGGGATCACAGTGGGCGTCTGCTTCCATGGAACCACCTGTTATCCTGCCTCTTTATGCAAGTGGGAGGACAACATAGAGGAAGGCCCCCAAACAAAATCAACCACAAAACCAACAACAAACCAATTTCTGCCCTCAACCAACAGACAGACAGACAGAAAATAAAAGCAAAAACAACTTCTTCCCCAAACTTAAATTCTCATTTCAATTAATTTGCTAAAGAAGACTTGATTTGGGAAGACCGGATTCTAGGTATGTCATCTGCTGCTATTGGCTCCTCTACTTACCAGATTGCTGCTTCAGCTGCTCTTTTTGGATTGCTGCAAACTGCTTGGCATCAGCCAGGGAGCCAAAAAGAGCAGCAAAGGGGTTACTTGAGATGTTGTTATTATTCTCCTGGTCTGTCATTTCACTTTAAGGTATCCTCCATCCAGCCCTAGGGGAGGGGCTATGCAAAAGACAGATGTTAGACTAGAAGGCAGACAAGTCAACTGCTGTGATACACCTTCCATTGTTCTTTCCCATTTCTTGAACACAATACATTTGAAAACACTTTGAGGAAGACGTGCCAAAAACTCCAGACATATTTGACAAGATGGTTACAAACCTACCAACTGGACACAGCCTGATCTGGGGATAGCTAAAACAAAAGAGGCTTAAAAACGGTCAGCTTGCCAGGCGTCGTGGTGCACGCCTTTAACACCAGCACTTGGGAGGCAGAGGCAGACGGATCTCTGGGAGTTTGAGGCCAGCCTGGTCTCCACAGCGAATCCAGGCCAGCTGGGGCTACAGGGAGAGCCTGTCTCAAAAAGACCAAAAAAAAAAAAAAAAAAAAAAAGTCAGCTGGAGTACATTTGTTGACATATATGTATTTACTATACTTTTAAGAAAGTAGCCATTTAAATAGAAATAACTATTGCAGTTAACCATTGCCTGCTAATGGTAGCTACAACAAGGTACTTAGACATAAGAAGGCAAGAACTATAGATTTCCTGTAAGTCTTTAAGTGAGCAGACTAGTTTTCATTTACATGTAGAGAACACAGTGGCACCTGTTCTGACTGCTACAATATAGGACTGAAGCTGGAGATTCTTTAGTTACATAGAAACTCAGATTTTTTTTTCTTTTTTTGAGACCACGTCTCATATAGCCTAGGTAGGCCTCAAATTGTCTATATCTCTAATCCCTCTGCCTCCACCTTCTAAGTGCTAAGATTACAAGTGTGCACCCACCAGGCCCAGCTCAAAATTCAGATTTGGAGTGGAGAATCAAGACCAGAAGTAGATTAGATGTATGTTGTGGGTCTTTCATAATATTAAGTCATCTACTTCAATTTATAGCCTTATAATTACTGACACTCTTTTAACTAAAATCAAAACAGTCTGTGCTTGATTTTTTTTTTTCTTCTCTTTTGAGATACGGTCTTATTATATAGCACAGGCTGGCCTTGAGATCATGATCTTTCTGTCTCAGCCCTCAGAGTTCTGAGATTACAGGCACATATCAACATGCCTGACTAGCCTTTACTTGATCCTATACTAATTTTCACTGTTTATCTGATTTTTTTATTTGTTTAAGACAGGGTCTCCTTGTCACCTTGCTGGCCTGGAACTTGATATGTAGACCAGGTTGGCTTTGCTCTCACAGAGCTCCCCCTGCCTCTGCTTCCTTATGCTGGGATTAAAGGCATGCAGCACGACACCCGACCTTATCTGAATTTTCCCCCCTAATGCTCAAGAAACAAGTTCAAGTGTCAGGTGTACTGTGTAACATGAAATAGATACACATCTCAAAGATGCTGAGGGGCAGAGGAAGAACATTTGGTCTACCTTTAGTTAATCAACCAATCAACTGAATGATCAGTCATTCTGACTGCTTTTGAGACAGGACATCACTATATGGCTGATGCTTCCCTGAAACTGTGTAGCCCAGGCTAGCCTCAAATTTACAATCATCCTGCCTCTGCCTCCTGAGTGTAGGATTACAGTAGTATGCCACCATTATTTACTTATTTTGGGGACATGGTCTTGCTATGAAGAGCCAAGGCTGGCCTTGAACTTGTAATCCTCTTGCTTTAGCCTTCTGAGTGCTGGGATTACAGGCATGTGCCACCATGCTTGGCTTATCTTCAGTTTATTGAAGTAAAGTTCCTTATAGAATCATATTAACAAAAGCTAATTCAAGTTGGAAAAGTTACGCCTAATTACTCAGGAAAGAGAGCTTCTCTCTCTTCTTGACACTTCCAAGATAATACCACCAGTTGCGTCATGGCCTCTTGTCATTTTTCTGCATAAAGCTAACAGCTAATGCAGGACAGGGAGACAGCCTCATCTCCTTTCAGTATGGTGCAGGAATTTACTACTTCAAGGAAATGAACCATAACATGTTGCTCTACATATTTTATTTTTGACATGTATATTTTACTGAGCTTAATAAAAACATAATCCTTGAGAGAGTACTCCCCCATGTAATCACTGTATAAGCTTAATTATCCCCTCTAACTGCTGTAAAGATACCCTGAATTGTCTCACTGTTGGATGATTACCACTGTTCCTCTACCCTAAGGTATCCTGAATTCCAAAAGATTGCAAAAAGTAGAGGGACACCCTTGAGTTTTCCTCTGGGTATTAACTGCGCTCAGTGCATCTATTTGGATGACACTGATTTCATATACCAGACCCAGGATGGGCACAGAAGACAAAGTGACTAATGGAAGAGCAGGCATGAGACTTTGTCAAAGTGTACAGGAGCAAATGAACATTATCTTTGGGCTTTTGGCTCAACCTATAGAGAAAGGAATTCTTTTTCTGTTTGGGTTGCCAGGCTAGTAAGATATAAATCTATAGTTGCCACCTTCACAACATCAAAGGAAGGCCTGCCCCAAAACTAAGCAGGAAAACAGAGCTGCCAGAGAGAAAAAGAAAAAGTTTTCCATATTTTTCAGTTATAAAAGTCAATAAATTCCCGCTGGGCATGGTGGCATATGCCTTTAATCCCAGCACTTGGGAGGCAGAGGCAGGCAGATCTCTGTGAGTTCAAGGCCAGCTTGGTCTACATAGTGAGTTCCTGGACAGCTGGGGCTACAGGGAGACCCTGTCTCAAAAAGACCAAAAAAAAAAAAAAAAAGTCAATAAATTCCCTAATTGCATAAACCAGTGTGAAGTATGTGTGTGTATGGGGGGCGGGGTGTACATGTGTGGTACATCTGTACACCTGGCCTCTGTGGAGGTCAGAGGAGGATATTGGGGGTCCTGTTCTATCACTCTCCAAATTATGCCTTTGGCAGGTTCTCTCACTGAAACTGGAGCTAGGCTGATAGCCGGCAAGCCTCGGTCATCCTCCTGTCTCCACTCTCCACAGTGCTAGGATTACAGGTGTGCATGTGGTCATATCTAGATTTTTATGTGGATTCTGGGGATTTGAACTCAGGTACTCATGCTTTCTTAGCAACAGCTCTTATCCAATGAGTCATCTCTCCCCAGGCCTGTTCTTTTATTTTTTTTAGATAGGGTCTCAATGTATAGCCCAAGCTGGCCTTGAACTTGTAGTGATTCTCCTGCCCCAGCCTCCTAAGTACTGAGATTACAGGCCTATATCCACCATTCCTGGCTTGCTTTATTTATTTGCTTATCATTATTTTATTATTTTGACTTTATGTGTATTAGCATATTGCCTGCATATGTGTAAGTGCACCCATGACATGCAATGCCATGGAGGTCAGAAGGCAGTGTTGGATTCCCCTGGAACTGGAGTTCTGGATGGCTGTTAGCCATCATATGGGTGCTAGGAATTGAACCTGGGTCCTCTACAAGAGCAGCCAGTGCTCTTAACTGCTGAGCCATCTCTCCAGCCCCTTGTTTATTTATTTTTGAGACAGGGTCTCACTAAGCAGCTTTGGCTGGCCTGGAACTCACTATATAGACCAGGTTGACCTCAAACTCAGAGATCCACCTGCTTCTGCCTCCCCAGTGCTGGGATTAAAAGCATGTGCTACCATGCCTGGCATTATTATTATTTTAAAAAAATACAATTCACTGGGCATGGTGGCATGTCTTTAATCCCAGCACTTGGGAGGCAGAGGCTGGTGGATCTTTGTGAGCTTGAGGTTAGCCTGATCTACATAGTGAGTTCTAGGCCAGCTGGGGCTACAGAGAGACCCTGTCTCCATTAAAAAAAAAATACAATTCAAGGGTCTGGATCATTAGACAGGAAGCACATGTACATGTGCAGAAAGGAAGCTGAAAAACAGAAATATGGAACATAGGACACGGGTTCTCAAGACTACATATAGTAAGAGGATTTAGTACCACAAATGGCCTTATTTCCTTCTTAATGGTCCTATATTGTTCCATTACACAAAGAAGCTAGCGTCCTATTACATTTTACTTCTATTTTTACTGGGGATTTATAAGACCTTTTACATTGTACTGCTATGCAGATCTGCTTTGCTGAATTCTTAAGATCTTTGAGCACAAGTTCCTATCTGATTATTCTTTCTTCTGTGTCTGGCATTAAATTTACAGTCATACAATTTTATATATATATATATATATATTTAATTTTATGTGTATGACTGTATTGCCTGCACGTATGTGAGTGCACCTGTGTCATGCAGTGCCACAGAGGTCAGAAGAGGGCCTTGGATTCCCCTGGAACTGGAGTTAAGGATGGTTCGTAGCTGCCATGTGGGTGCTGGGAATTGAACCTGGGTCCTCTGCAAGAGCAGCCAATGCTCTTAACCACTGAGCTGTCTCTCCAGCCCCAATTTAATATTTTTTGAAAGGCTCAATCTTCCATGTAGTTATTCCTGAATCCTCTGTAATCATCATTATTCACAATCTACTTCAACATATGGCTTTACTACTTGTCTTGAGATGTACCACTAGGCAGTACCAGGCCAAGCATTGAGGCTTTTTGGTACTGTAGCATGTGTAGAATAGAGAATGAAAATAAATCTGTTGTCATCCCAAATGTTGTCCTACTTAGCTTTAGCAGTCAATTTGACACAGCCTAGACATCTAGGAAAGCCTTGATTGAGGGATTGCACAGATCATATTGGCCTATGGGCTTGTCTGTGGGGGAACTTTCTGGACTGTTAGTTGATATAAGAGGGCCCAGTCCACCAGGGCAGCACCATTCCCTGGGCATGTGGTCCTCGGCTATATAAGAAAGCTAGCTAAGCATAGGCCTGAGACTGAGCCAGCAAGCAGCATTCCTCCATGGTTTCTGTTCAAGTTCTTGTTTGAGGTCCTGTCCAGATTTCTCTCAATGGTGAATGGTGATCTGGAACTATAGCCAAATAAACTCTTCTCTCTCTTGTGTTACTTTTGGTCAGAGTGTTTTATCACAGCAACAGAAAGAAGACTAGAATAAATGCTAAAAACAAAAAATGTTTTGCCTACCCCATTAAACTCATCTTTTTCATCCTAAAATTTGTGCATAGATTTTCTTTATATAGAAAAACACTAAAGGAAGGACTGATCACTTGATGAGAACTTTTGTGGAGGTTCCAATTTAGATTTAGTCAATTAACTTATACATGAAAATAAAAGTACCTAGTAAGAAAAGAAAGGTTTGATGAAATGTAACCTTTATCTTTTGCTTGTTTTAATACTCAATTTACCTATTTTAAATGTTTTAGTTTTCAGCTGACTGTGGTGGTACACACATGGAATCCCTGTATTTGGGAGGACTTTGACTTCAAGGCCAGCCTGGGCTACATAGTGAGACCTTGTCTCAGAAACAAATAAATAAAGTTAAGAGAGCTTACTGATCTATCAGAGGACCAGAGTCCCTAGTTCCCATACAGGGTGGCTCACAAATCCCTGTAACTTCAGCTTCAAGGAATCTGATGGCCCCTTCTATCCTCCATGGGCACCCCTCACCCATGTACACAGGCACACACATAAATAAAATAAAAATTGTGTGTGTGTGTGTGTGTGTGTGTGTGTTTAAAGAAACAAGAGCCTGGAGAAATGGCTCGGCAGTTGAGAGCACTTGCTGCTCTTCCAGAGGACCAGCATTCCGTTCCCAGCACTCAAATCAGGTGGCTCAAAACTGACTTTAACTATGGCTTGAGGGGCTTTTATGCCCTCTTCTGGCCTTGTGAGTCACCACATACATGTGGCACACACATACATATACACATAAATAAAAATACACACACATATACACATAAATAAAAATATGAATGCTTTAAAAACAAGTAACAATGAAATCTCTTATTTTCGGATGCTCTACAGAGATACAACACTGTTGTATCTGTTGTTAGCCTCTGGGATAGTACAGCCACTAATCTTTCAGAGCCTTTGGTTTTGATTCTTTTTGAGTAAGTCCTCTTTAAAAATAAATTTCACTCCATATATCCACTGCAAAAGTCTATCCTTATAAGAGGTGTCTACTGTTGGTCCTATAATATCTTCACCCCTCTCCTGATTCAAGCTTTTATTTATGAAGAGTACTGTTAATCCTTTAAGGGCACTGTCAACTCTTGTGAGCACACATTTTAAGAACAAACCCGATACTGTGTTAATGTAGAACCATCAGAAACACTGAAAAAATTGGGGTAGGTGAAATCATGGTTTATAAGCTGGGGGTGTGGCTAAGTGCTAGAGCATTTACTAAACATAGTTACCTAGGTTCCTATTCGAGCAACTCTAACTCCCACTCAAATCAAACGCTATTAAAAATTGTACTCCCTAGGATCTCTATTTTGAAATTAAAAAAGTGCTTCCAAGGTAATATGTTCTACCCAGTAATATTTTCAGTACTTCATGTGCTAATGTAACAGAAATCCTTTTAACACATTTATCTGCAAGATCAAAGGTAAACACATACCGCTCCCTCCCGCCCCCGCCCCCTGCCTCAAACAGCATTCCTTCTCGGCTCCCATTTTATGTCTTCCCTTAGGGACCAAGAGTCAACGACCGAGATATAGTGTGGTTCTAGGATAGAAAAACTGGTCCTAACGGGAACACCCATAGCTAAATATAAGCTTCTGAGCTGTGGGCACTCAATTAACGAAGTGTCTTCTCAATTCTAGGAAATACGAACAGGTCAGGAAGGGTACGGTAGCGAGCCCACCACTCGCCTTAAGAAACGTCAACATCTTGTCATATGCACTCAACTGTGATTACTGAGACTCGTGCTTAACTGCCTCCCTGACATCTGGCTCTCTGTCGTCCACTCTGTTATTTTATCCCTTGGGGTTCCCGAAGAGATTCTTGGGGAGAGGGAGACCCACCCACCCTGCGCAGGTTCTAGAAACAAGTTAAGAGGCAGCGGAGGCCAACACTCCGCCCCGTCCAGTAGGCGCCTGGAAAGGAGCAGGAGGATGTTCAGAGACACTAGACGCTGGAGCACCATAAAGGTTTACAAGTCTGACAGGGTCGAAGTTTTCGAAGAGGGACTTGGTCGGGCAAACACAGAAGGAATTTGGAGCAGAGTGCAGAGGCCTGGGCTGGCAACGGCTGAGGAGGAAAATCCGCACAGCAAACTCAACCATCCCCTCTCCTCAAGCTCCCTTCTCGCTTACCAGAGCCTGAGAGGCCAGCAGCGACGACACGACACAGCCTCAGTGGTCAGAAGCTTCCCACTTCCGACTCAGCACGGCAACCGGAGCTGACATCATCGCGGAGCGCCAGGGTCTGGGGAGTCTCTCCCCGGCGCCGGAAGCAGGGCGTGTCCGTCCTCGCCCGCTTACGTCAGGCAAAGCCCCGCTACGGCGCATACACCGGATCACTGGCGGCCAGCTGGGGGCGGGCCGGAAGTGGCTTTGGGATTGGGCTAGGCTGCGGGGCGGGGCGGGGCGACAGCGCTAAGTGGTTTTGGAGTTCATTGAAATGTGAAAATTCGTCGTTTGAGGACAGGCATAGTTCTGTGATCTCTGGCTGTGCTCACAAACTGGTTTTCTGATTTCTTATGTTCCCACCCGTTCTATGCCTTTGAAATTATTTATTTTTTTATTTTTAATTTTTAAAGATTTTTTGTTCTTTTTGAGGCAGGGTCTCCCTGCAGCCACAGCTGGCCTGGAACTCACTGTGCAGACCAAGTTGACCCCGAACTCTCAGAGATCCACCTGTCTCTGCTTCCCAAGTGCTGGGATTAAAGGTGTGAGCCACCACGCCCAGCATTGAAATTATTTTTATTTTTATTTTTTATGTGTATGAGTGTATTGCCTGCATGTAAGTGCACCTGTGTCGTGCAGTGCCCGCGGAGGTCAGAGGAGGGTGTTGGATCCCCTGGAACTGAAGTTTCAGACGGTTGCTAGCTGCCATGTGAGTGCTGGGAATCGAACCCAGATCTTCTACAAGAGCAGCCAGTGCTCTTAACCACTGAGCCATCTCTCCACTTCCCATCCTATGCCTTTTTAGAGCAGTACCACTTACTCTTCATAGATCAGAAGCAGGAACAATACCAATAATAACAATATCTAGAAGTTTAGAGTAGGTATTAGGTGCCAAGTAGTGTGCTATTTGGGGCTGGACTTCAGTTTTTTTAATCTGTCTGGTGACTGCAGTATGCATCCTACAAGTCTGTTTTGAGGGACACAAACGTATAGAAGCAGTATACTCTACAAGAGTTAAAAGCACCATGCAAGTGAAAAGAGGGTTCACAAAATGAGTGAAAAGATTTGCATGTCGCAAATGTAATCAAAGATTAATATCAAGAACAGATTAAGAACTATGATTTACTGGGTGTGGTGGCCATCAGCCTGAAATCTAAGCCCTGGGGAGGTTGAGGTAGGGGGGATCAGAAGTTCTGGCCAGCAACAGCTACATAGAAGGTTCTAGGCCTCCCTGGGCTATGTGACAAAAACGCAATATCAAAAACAAGGAAAGGACACAGAAATTGGAACCCTTATATTTGATAATGGGAATGTAAAATATAATGTCACTAGAAAACACATGATCCAATAATCCCAATTTGATAGATGTCCCTTAAGAACTGAAAGCAGGGTTCAGACAGGTACTTGTATACCAAAGTATGGGAGTATTCATAATAGCTAGAGAAAAAACCCTGAATGCCCCTCAACAGATGAATAAATATTAAAAAGTGTTATATAATAGGCTACTACATAGTGTTAAGTAGGAATAGAGTCTAATACATGCTACAACTGGATAGACTTTGAAAACATTCTATGTGGAGTAAGCTGTATACAAAGGGATACATGCTGTATGATTCTACTTATATGTAGTACCCAGGATAGGCAAATGTGTAGAGACAGAAAGCAGAATAAAGGTTACTAAGTGTTAGGATCAATGAGGAATGGAAGTTGTTTAATGGGTACAGAGCTTCTGTTCTATAAGATGGAAAGTTCTAGAAATGAATAGTGGTGATGACCGTATGGCTATTTGAATGCACTTAATGCCACCAAATAGTACATTTAAACATGACTGTGTTTGTTTTTGTCATCAGGATAAAAATACCTGAGGAAACAACTTATAAGAAAGGATTTCCTTTGGCTCACAGTTTAATAGGTTTCAGTCTTAGGGCAGATGAAACAAAGCCAAATATGGCAACAAGAGCACATGGCAGAGGCTGCCAAGAGAAAGAGAATGACTGTGATAGTGTGCTTCTGCCTTCCCTCTTTGTTCTATTTGAGCCCCTAGCTTATTGGATGGTACTGCCTATATCCAGAGTAAGTCACACACTCAGAAATGTGCTTTATAACCATCATCACAGTTAAAATGGTAATCTAGTCAGCAGGTAATCTAGTCACTAATCCTATCACTTTGGAGGCAGAGGCAGGTGGATTTTGAGTTCAAGACCAGTTTGTGCTACTATAGCAAGTTCCAGGTCTGCCCCGGCTGTATATTGAGATCTTATTACACACACACACACACACGCACACACACACAACAACAACAACAACAACAACAACAAAACTGTGCTGGTCTGGTTAGTTTTTGTCAACTTGACACAAGCTAGAGTCATTTGGGAAGAAGGAACCTTAATTGAGGAATTTCCTCCATCACACTGGCCCGTGGGCATGTCTGTGAGACATTTTCTTGATTGGTGTGGGAGGGCTGAGCCCACTGTGGGCGATGCCATCCCTGGGCATGTGGGCCTGGACTGTATAAGAGCGACTGAATAAGACAGGTAAGCAGGTTCCCAGGGTCTCTGCTTCAGTTCCTACTTCCAGGTTCCTGCCTTGAGCTTCTGCTTTGGCTTCCCTCAAGAATGTATTATAACTTGAAAGCTGAAATAAACCCTTCCCTCCCCCAAGTTGCTTTGGGTCATGGTATTTATCATAGCAATAAAAAGCGTGGTTTGAATGACAATGTCTCCCATCGGCTCCAAGTATTTGGATACTTGGTTCCCAGTTCCTGGCACTGTTTGGGTCATAGAGCCTTTAGGAGGTGTGACCATGCTCTGGCCACCTCCTGCCATGCCTCCTCCACTATTATGGACTCTCCCACTGGAACCTAGCATAAGAAAATAGAGTCTTCTATAAGTGGCCTTGGTCGTGGTATTTTATCACAGCCACAGGAAAAGTAACTAATACAAAAAGCAAAGTAAAACAACTACAAAAGGCAAATTTTATATTATGCATACTTTACCACATACATAAAAAGCATCATGTAATATTTGAGTGTGTGCCACTGTTCTAGTTCCTTAAAACATCCTATCAGAAAAAAAATCCAGGTATTTTCCTGGAACTTAAAATCTGTTGAGAGCGGATTGGCAACACAGCTTTAAAAAGTCATGGAGCTCCTTCCCAAGGACCAGGGCCATCAAAGAGGAGGGGGTGAAAAGACTGTAAGACCCACAGGTCAGGGAGGAGTGGAATGAAACACTGTCTTCTGGGAATGACAGGTCTGCTGCACTCATGAACTGATAGCAACTGTGGTTGCCTACACAAGACTTGAACAAGATCAAGCCAATCAACATTCCAACACTGGGGGGATGGTTCATGAGCTCCCACCCCTAGTGAGAAGCTATTGATAGTTGATGGCTACTGAGGGAGGGAGAGTCAGATATGGTCCCTGGTAGGTTGATGGCAATCTTGTGGATGACCCAAATCCATGAGCGTTTTGGAAGCACCAACTGGACTTAGCAGGTTATTCAAAACAAAACACAAAGTTGGAAGTGTAAGGGTGGATCTGGGAGGAGATGGGAGTGAATATGATTAAAACACATTGTAGGCATGCAATAAATTCTCCAAGAATTAATATTTTATTAAAAACTATTTTAAAAGTGATGAAAACTGTGTGTGGTGACACACACCTTTAATCCCACACTCAGGAGGTAGAGACAGTCATATCTCTATGAGATCAAGGCCAGCCTGGTCTACATATCAAGTTCCTGTCTCAACAAAGCAAAAACAAAAACAACAAAAGGAACAAAAGTAATGGAGGTTATAGATCAGTAGTAAAGTGCTTACCTCACATATATAAAACGCTGGGTAAATCCCCAGCACTGAAAAGAACAGAAATTAAAATAAATAAAGATAATAAATATTTCTGAAATAATTGGGAAGCTATCTGTTTTAAAATTTGATCTTTGTTAGATCTTACATAAACCTAGTTCAAGATGGCTCAAAGATTTAAGTGTATAAAATGAAATCAGAAAAATTCTAGAGGAAGGCCAGGTGTGGTGGCAAGCAACTTTAATCCTAGCGCTTGGGAGGCAGAGGCAGGGGGATCTCTGTAAGTTTGAGGCCAGCCTGTTTTACATAGAGCGTTCCAGGTCAACAAGAGCTACATAGTAAGGGCCTGTCTCAAAAGACTCCCCCCACCAAAAAAAACACCCAAAGCCAAATCAAACCAACCAACCAACCAACCAACTAACCAACCAACCAACCAACCAACCAACCAACCAACCAACAAAAAGAAAGAAAAGAAAAGGAAAAAATCTAGAGGAATTAATGGAAGGACTTTTTTTTTTTAAAGAATAATCTTAGTCAGATGTCATGGTATACACTTGTTATTCCATCACTTAGAAGGTAGAGAGACTATGATCAGGAGTTCAAGCCAGTCTTGACTACTATATAGTGAGTGTGAGACTGTCTCAGAAAATGAAAAAAAAATTAAACTTTTAGGGGCTGGAGAGATGGCTCAGCAGTTAAGAGCACTGGCTGTTTTTGCAGAGGACCTGGATTCAGTTCCCAGCACCCTTGTGGTGGCTAACTACCTTCTGTAATTGCAGTTCCAGGGGATCCAACACCCTTTTCTGCCCTCTGCAAAACTACATGTGCAGGCAAAACACTCATGCACGTAAAAGAAAAATAAAATATTAAAAATTAAATTTTATTTTGGTCTTTTTGAAACAGGGTCTCCCTGTAAGTCCCAGCTGTCCTGGAACTCACTATGCAGGCCAGGCTGGCCTTGAACTCACAGAGATCCGCCTGCCTCTGCCTCCCAAGTGCTGGGACTACAGGCATGCGCCACCACGCCCTGCAAAAATTTAAATTTTTTAAATTAAAATTTTATTAATCATTATTATTATCCTCTGCGTGTGTGTGCGAGTGTGTGCGAGTGTGTGTATGCACACTCGCACACACCTATTGTGTTTGTGTGTGCCATGTGTGCATATGAGTGTCTACACACGGATGCCATGGTGCAAGTGTGGAGGTCAGAGGACAACTCTTTGGAGTTAAAATTTAGTCCTAAAAATGTAATGTTTAGTGGCAAAAGAGATGGCTCAGCAGTTAAAGGCACTTGCTACAAAAGCCTGGTGACCTGAGGTGGATCCCTGGAACCCATGTAAAGGTGGAAGGAGAGAACTCTATAAAGTTGTTCTCTGACCTCTGTAGGTGTATGTCATGCATGCCTAAAAATATACATCATACACACTCCCTGTATAAAAATATTAATGTTGGGGATGGAGAGATGGCTCAGTGGTGAAGAGCACTTGCTGCTCTTGCAAAGGGTCTGAGTTCAGTTCCCAGCATGGCAGCTAACGACTGTCTGTAACTCTAGCTCCAGGGGATCTAACATCCATTTCTAGCCTCCATGGGCACTGTACACATATGGTGCACGTACCTACATGCAAGCAAACACTCATACACATAAAATAAAAATAAAAAAATCCTTAAAAAGTAATGTTTAGAGAACTCAGAGAATTGAGGCAGAAGGATTATGAATTGGGGGCCAGCTACACTACACAGTAGCTTCAAAGACAGTCTGGGATGCCTAGCAACACCTTGTCTCAAAAAAATTTCTATGTTTAGAAAATTTTAAATACAATTTTATTTTAGACTGGGGTCTCCCCAACTGGACTGGAAGTCCAGATGTAGACAGACTGACCTCGATTTCTCAGAGATCTGCCTGCCTCTCCCTCCCAAGTGCTGGGATTAAAGTTGTATGCCATCACATCTGGCTAAATATAAATCTCCCCCCCCCCTTTTGGTCTTTTTGAGACAGGGTCTCTCAGTAGCCCCAGCTGGCCTAGAACTTGCTATGTAGACCAGGCTGGTGTTGAACTCACAGAGATCCGCCTGCCTCTGCCTCCTAAGTGCTGAGACTAAAGGTGTGGGCTACCATGCCTGATTTAAAGCTTAATATTCACAAATATAAAACTTAGCCTAAAAGCTATAAAAGGCCAATGAATTCTATTATATGTGAATATTTGAAAATGTGCATAAAATAAGCAAATTTATACATGCAAATCAGTAAGAGAAAAAAAAATCCAAAGTATGTGAGCCTGTATTGCATGAGAATGAAAAACAAAATGTTCACCCTCAGTTTTAATAAAAAATGTAAATTAAAACTACATTCAGGGGGCTGGAGAGATGACTCAGTGGTTAAGAACACTGTTCTTGCAGAAGACCCCGGTTTGAATCCCAGCACCCACATGGCAGCTAACAATTGTTTGTAACTCCAGTTTCAGGTGACAGCCTCTTCTGTCCTCTGTGGGCATTGCATGACACGGGTGCACTTACCTACATGCAGGCAATGCACACATACACATAAAAAAAAATACACTCAGTAGTTTTGTTACTGAGGGATAGTGGCTCATGCATGTAATTCCAGCATTAGGGAGGTAGAGGCAGGAAGATTGGGGTTCAGCATCATCCTTTGCTAGTTAGTACTAGCTAGCTAGCTTGGCCTACAAGAGATCCTTTCTCAAATACCAACCAAAGAGAAAAATGGCAAACAAACAAGCAAAAAAACAAAACCCTTATATTGAAATGCCCTTTTAAACTTACATTGGCATAATTCAAAAAGCTTAGTAATAAACTGTTTACTCAATAATAGACATGTATATGGACTAGTAGGCCATTGTTTGTTATAATTTCACTATTTGCATTTGTTACTAATACTTTTGAACATGTTAAAATGACATTTATTGTTAGAACTAAAATGGGAAGGCCCTAAGAACTACAAAAAGAAGATAGAGAAAAATCTTGTGACTATGTATTTGGTAAAGATTTCTTAGACATGACACCAAAAATACAATAAAATCTATGAAATGGAATTTACCCAAATTAAAAATCTTTGCACTTTAAAAGATGCCATTAAGAAAGTGAGGTCCAGGACTGGAGAGATGGCTTAGAAGTTGAGAACTTGATGTTCTTGCAGAGGACCAGCATTCAATTCCCAGCATCTACGTGTGGCAGCTCACAATTGCCTGTAACTCCAGCTCCAGGGGATCAGATTGGCACCTGGACACACATACCTCTGCACACACAGACACACCCATTTACACATAAATGAAAATAAAATAAATCTTTAAATATTTTTTTTATTACTGAGAGGGGTCTCCCTGTAGCCCCAGCTGGCTTGGAATTTGCTATGTAGACCAGGCTGGCCTCGATCTAACAGAGATCTATCTGTCTCTGCTTCCCAAGTGCTGAGCTTAAAGGTGTGTACCACTATGCCCAGCATAAATATTCTTAAAAAAAATCCCTGAGGAGCTGGAGAGATGGCTCAGTGGTTAAGAGCACTGACTGCTCTTGTAGAGGACCCAGATTTGATTCCTACCATCCAGATGGCAGGTAATAACCATCTATAACTCCAATTCAAGGGCATCTGACCTGAAGGTCAGGGCCTTCTTCTGACCTCCTCAGGCATTTCATGACATGGGTGTACTTACATGCATGCAGGCAATACATTAATACACATTAAAAAAAAAAACCACCAAAATAAAACCCTGAGGCCAGGCAGTGGCTTGTGTCTGTTATCTCAGCACTCAAAAGGCTATAGAATGAGGACCATGAGTTCAAGGCCAGTCTGGGCTAAATAACAAGACTGTTTTTTTAAAAAAGTGAAAAACAAATCAAAGATTTGTAAAAATATTCCCAAATTGCCCTGAAAGTATGAGGACCTGAGTCTGATCCCCAAAGCCGACATAAGAAATGCCAGATAGGGCTAGAGAAATGGCTCAGTGGTTAAGAGCATTTGCTCCTCTTGCAGAGGACCTGAATTCTGTTCTCAGCACCCACATGTCTGCTAACAACCTTCTGGAACTCCAGTTCCAGGGTATACAATGCTTTCTTCTGACCTCCAAGGGCATTGCATGCAAGTTGTGCACTTATATACATACAAGGCAAAACACTCATATATATTAAAAACAAAAAAGCCTTGTGTGGTGATGAGCTATTATACTCTTAGTTCTGGGGAGGCAGAGGCAGGCAGGTCACTGGGGCAGGCCAGTCAGCCTAGCTGAACCTAATCAGTGAGCTCCAGGCCAATGAGACCCTATTTCAAGATAAGGTGGACAGCACCTGAGTAACAACACCTGAACTGTCTTCTGGCTTCCACATGAAGGGTAACTCTAGTTCCAGGAGATCCAATGCCCTCTTCTGGTCTTTGTGGGCATTTCATGACACAGGTGCACCTACATACATGCAGACAAACCACTCGTACACATAAAATAAAATAAAAATCAACAAATAAAAAAATCTTTTAAAAGACCACAGTAACATTTACTGAAATGGCTATATTAAAGTAGTGACAAATATTGTTGAGGATTCAGAAAAACAAAAGCCTTCATACTTTGATGGTAGGAATATAAAATGGTACAGTTTGGAAACCAGTTTGGTAGTTTCTTAAAAAGTTAAGCATTGCTGGGCATGGTGGCACACGCCTTTAATCCCAGAACTCGTGAGGCAGAGGCAAGCAGAGCTCTGTGAGTTCAAGGCCAGCCTGGTCTACATAGTGAGTTCCAGGCCAGTTGGGGCATCTCAAAAAGAAAAAAAAAGTTAAGCATCAATTTGTCATATGATCTGGAAGTTCTTCATTCCTAGGTCTCTACCTCAGAGAAGCAAAATTATGGTTCTACAAAAAGACTTGTATGAGAATTCTCAGTGCAGAACTATTTATAACAGACACAGAAAACATCCAAATGCCCTTTGACTGGTAAATGGATGAGCAAGAGGTGGAATAGCCATGAAGAAGTGCTTTTCAGCAGCAAAGTGAAAGAAAGGATCTATATGCTACAATCAAGGCAGTCTGAACTAGATAACAAAACCCTGTGGAAAAAAATGAAAAAGAAACTGAAGATTTGTCAAAATATTCCTACAACATAGATGAGCCCTGGAAACATGCTAGAAGCTACAGCTATCTTGTGTTATGAGATTCTTTAGAGAATGTTCGAAAGGAAAATGTAAAGCAGTGAGAGATTTGTGACTACTTGGTGCTGAGGGGGAAAACAGGGAGCGACTGCAAACAGCACAAGGGATCTTAACGGAGTGGGAACAGGTGAAATTGCTTAAAATTGGTGACTTTTGTGGTCTGTAAGTTATACTTCAATGCAACTCTTTTTAAAAATGGCAAACAGTCTTGGCAGCATTATTGTAAAAAGAGGAAGATTAGAGTCAAGGTAAATGATCATCAACAAATGGCTGGCTAGGTAGCTTATAGTGTGTTTATATAATGTGACTGCATACAAAAGTTCTTTACACACTCGTGAAATAATCTTCAGGTTGGATTAGGAGAAAATGCAAGATGTATAGTGTTATATCCTTGGTGTGAAAAATAGGGAAGGGAGGATAATGCGTATTTGAGAATGTGCTCTTATATGCCTAGAATATATCCAGGAACACGAATAAAACTTGTCTGCTTCTGGAGGAGGGAGATCTTTCACTACATATTTGATCCATTTAATTACTACTACTTTGTGTGTGTGTGTGTGTGTGTGTGTGTGTGTGTATGTGCCTGCACGTGGGCAGCAGGTTTGGGGGGGAGGGTACCACATAAGCTTGTGGAGTCTTGTTCTCTTTTTTCCACTGTTTACCTGGGTTTGTGGGGATCGAACTCAGGTTGTCAGGCTTGCGTGCCAAGCACTTTTACTCTATGAGCCATGTCACGGGCCCACTGTTCCATTCAATTATGATGTACACAAAGACCCAATGAAAGTTAAAACAAAAAAATTCTATTCAGGGGGCTTATTTGAGCTTTTATTTTTTGGTTTACAATTTTCCCCAATAGGTGGCGCTCCCGAGACATCATGCCGATCTTGTTTTCCCTTCGCTGCTTCCCCCCGCCCCCCAAACCCCCGGGGGTGGGGTCTGGGGGTGGGGTGCTGGGAATCTAACCCTGGGGCTGAATTCATGCAAGCTTGGCAAGTGCTCTACTACTGAACTACACGTCCTCAGTTCCGACTTTTATTTTATAAAAAACACCCCAAAATTGCTCTGCCGGCTCTTCCTCCCTTCTTGCCACCTCTGCAGACCCTGAGTCTACATTCAGGACTAAAAATCTCTCTACCAGGAGCTCTCCAAATTGTTTTGATTCTGAGTACTGGATGGAAGGGGGATCACCTGGAACCAGAAAGAAAAATTGCAATTGGTCAGAAAACCAACAGATGTTTTCAGATTTGTTTTCCTGGTTGAAACTTCTGATGTATTAATGGAATCAGAATTTCTGATTAGTTGCAAGGCTGATTAAAAGGTTAAGAGATCTTTAGGGTTTTTTTTTTTTGTTTTGAGACAGGGTTTCACTATGTAGACAAGGCTGGTCTGGAACTCACAGAGACCTGCCTGCCTCTGCCTCCTGAGTGCTGGGATTAAATGTTTGGTCTTTAGTTCTTTTATCATTATTATTTTAATATTTTATTCATTATTCAAAAATATCATTCACTGTATTATGATCATATTCACCCTATCCCTCATCTCTTCCTATGTCCATTCCCATCTCCCTATTTGAGTGTGAAGTGATCTACCAGGGGTCACACCCTTTGACCTTTAGTTCCTACTGCTGATTTTGCCCTGGAGGAGATACCAGGTAATGTCTAGATACACTTTTGCTTCTCATACTGGGAGTGCTGTCTGGCAGAGGCCAAGGATATGCTATAAATCCTGTAATGCACAGGACAGTCCCTCACCACAAAGAATTAGCACAATATGTTAAAAGTGTGGATGGATGCTGAGAGATCCTGATGAGGTTAAGTTTCAGCATCTCTATGACTTGAGGCCCTGCTCTAAGGCTTTACAGATACACACAGCACCTATATTTTCTTTTGGCAATCAGTCCTGGTCCCAGTGTTTTAGAAAAGAGACTCCATAGCCCTCTCTCTCTCTCTCTCTCTCTCTCTCTCTCTCTCTCTCTCTCTCCTCTCTCCTCTCTCTCTCTCCTCTCTCCTCTCTCCTCTCTCCTCTCTGTCTCTCTCCCTCCCCCCAGATCCTTACTGGAGAAGAAAGAGCTATTAAGCAGCAGTGGGGAGGAGGCAGACCATGCAGGGGTACTTCCTCAGGATTAGTTTTGAAGAATTCACCAACTTAGAGTCTTGTACACTCACTTCTTCCTCAGTTGATTTCCCTGGAGGTGGCTGTACTGCTCATCTTCTCGATCCTTAAGGGGCTGGAGAGGACAGCATAGTCATCAATTCATTTTTATATCTTCTGTTAATTAATTTGAAGCATATTTGTTGAATACTTTTTGTTTTTCATTTTTAAAAAATATTTTGTTTATTATTTATATTTTATGTGTATGAATGTATTGCCTGCATGTATGTAAGTACACCCATGTTGTACAATGCTTGTGGAGGTTAGAGTGTCAGATTCCCCTGGAACTGGAGTTATGGTTGTTAGCCACCATGTGGGTGCTGGGAATTGAACTTGAGTCCTCTGTAAGGGCAGTCAGTGCTCTTAATCACCGTGCTCTTAATCACCGAGCCATCTCTCCAGCCCCTGTTTTTTTATTCTTTAAGATTAAAACAATTATTTATGTGTATGTATGCCATGTGTGTACAGTGCCTGTAGATGCCAGAGACAATGTCAGATCTCCTGGAGCTGGAGTTACAGGTGGTTTTAAGCTGCCAGATGTGGGTGTTGGGAACAGAGCTTGGGTGCTCTGGAAGAGCAGAAAGTGTTCTTGATTTCTGAGCCATTTCTTCAATTCCCTGGACACTTTTTAGGAAGAAGATTCTGGAATGGGTGCTTCATACCTCTAGAGAGGCAGGCTCTACATAGAGTTTCTTTTGTGTGTCTCTCTCAGTGTGTCCTTCAAGTTTTTCTCATCAGATCTTCACCCCAGTATTTCTTTAGTCCTTCTCTTTGTTTTTCTCACTCTATCCCACGCAGCAACCTTCCCACTATGTGACGTGCTATGAGCGTTTATCTGTCTAGTAGCTTCCCCCATCCCAAAGAGAAAAATCCCACCAATTTTCTCTTTCATTCCTCATTCTTTACCTGGTAGAGCTGATCATTGGGCAACAGCGTCTGCTTGTCTGAAGCTGCACAAAAGATAGACATTATAAATTCCAACATAAAATGATAATAAATTATTTATACAGTGGAATACCGAACAGTACAAGAATCACCTGTACGCAGGAATAGGGGTCATCCTCATAAGCACATTGTAGAGTGAAAGAAGTTACACCCAAGAATATGGACTGCATGACCCAAACCAAGCAAAATGAATCCTGTGGTCAGAAGGCAGGATCATGCTCATGCTTGGTGATGAGTTGTGGCTGGAAGAGACTGCTATGGTGTTGGTAATATTTTCTTTCTTTCTTTTTTTTTTTGGTCTTTTAAAGACAGGGTCTGGAACTCACTATGTAGACCAGGCTGGTCTTGAACTCACAGAGATTCTCTTGCCTCTGTCTCCCAAGTGCTGGGATTAAAGGTATGCACCACCACACCTGGCTAATATTTTATTTCTTAAACTGGGTGTGGATGTATGAATATGTTCCTTAGGGGTTTTTTTAGCTAGATGCTTTCACATTTCGATATGTAGGTTTGTGGTGGTTTGAATAAGAATGTCCCTCATAGGCGCCAAGTATTTGGACATTTTGTCCCCAGTTAGTGGCATTGTTTTAGGCGGTCTTAGAAGGTGTGGCCATGCTGGAGGAAGCGTGTCACTGGGGGTGGGGGCTTAGAGAGTTCTTAAGCCTTGCCAAATTTTGAGTCATGCTTTGCTTCCTGTGCCTGCTGGAAGATGTGAGTGCTCCAGTTTCTACTCCCTCCACCTCCTGACACCATGCCTCCCTGCCATGATAGATTCTAATTCCCCTGGAAACGTAAGTTCAAACTCTTCCTTCTGTAAGGTCCCTTGGTCACAGTGTTTCATCACAGCAACAGAAAAGAAGCTAAGACAAGATTTTACTTCTATAGAGAGATTTTTTGTTTGTTTGTTTTTGTTTTTAAGGGCTAGAAATGCAGGTCCATTGGTGGAGTGCCTAGTGTACATGAGACCCTAGGTTAGATTCCCAGCACTGTATAAACTGGATGTGGTGGTACATGCCTGTCATCCTAGCACTTGGTAGATAGAAGAAAGATATTCAGAAGTTCAAGGTCCTCCTGTTTCATAAGACTTTCTTTAAAAAAATTGTGAGGTTCTTTCATTTTGTTTCTTTTTAAAAAATATTTTATTTATTATTTTATTTTTTGTGTATGAGTGTATTGCCTACATGTATGTAAATGCACCTGTGTTGTGCAACGCCTGCAGAGGTCAGAAGACGGCATTGAATTCCCCTGGAACTGAAGTTATGGACTGTTGTTAGCTATCATGTGGGAGATGAGGGTCAAACCCAGGTCCTCTGCAAGAGCAGTCTTTTTAAAAAATATTTTATTTATTATTTTATTTTTTGTGTATGAGTGTATTGCCTACATGTATGTAAATGCACCTGTGTTGTGCAACGCCTGCAGAGGTCAGAAGACGGCATTGAATTCCCCTGGAACTGAAGTTATGGACTGTTGTTAGCTATCATGTGGGAGATGAGGGTCAAACCCAGGTCCTCTGCAAGAGCAGCCAGTGCTCTTAACAACTGAGTCATCTCTCCATCCCCCCCACCCCTGCTTTTGAAATAGTATTTGATGATGTAGCCCTGGCTGGTGTGGAGTTCTCTATGTAGACCAGGATGGCCTTAAACTTGAGGTAATCCTCCCTTGCCTTAGCTTCCAGAATGCTGGGATTGCAGGTATGAGCCACTACATCTGACTCCAATAAAGAATTTTTTGTTTTTGTTTTTTAAGACAGGGTTTCCCTCTAGCCCCAGCTGGCCTGGAACTCACTCACTATGTAGACCAGGTTGGCCTTGATCTCACAGAGATCTGGCTGTCTTTGCCTTCCAAGTGCTGGGATTAAAGGCATATGCCACCACATCCAGCTAAAAAAAATTCTTTTTTGTCTTTTTGCGACAGGGTCTCCCCGTAGCCCCAGCTGTCCTGGAACTCACTGTGTAGACCAGGCTGGCCTCAAACTCACAAAGGTCTGCCTACCTCTGCCTCCAAGTGCTGGGATTAAAAACGCCTGGCCCAGCTAAAAATTTTTAGATAAGGTTGCACTAATTACCTCTGGCTGACCTGGAACTTGCTATGTAGACCAGGTTGGCCTCAAACTCAGAAAGATCCACCTGCCTATGCCTCCTGAGCGCTGGAATTAAAGGTGAGTGCCACCACATGCAGCATCAATAAAGAATTTTTTTTTTTTTGGTCTTTTTGAGACAGGGTCTCCCTGTAGCCCCAGCTGTCCTGGAACTCACTATGTAGACCAGGCTGGCCTTGAACTCACAGAGATCCTCCTGCCTCTGCCTCCTGAGTGCTGGGATTAAAGGCGGGCACCACCATGCCCGGCTCAATAAAGAATTTTTAAAAAAAAGACAAACCAAGTGGACTTTGCATGTATGGTGCACTTACATGCATGCAGGCAATACACTCATATGCATATAATAAAAATAAATAAAATGTAAAAAGACAAACCAAGCATGATGGCTCATCCCTGTAATCCCAGCATTCGGAAGACTGAGGTAGGAGGATCACCATGGATTTGAGCCAACGTGAGTTACATAGAATGTTCTAAGCCAGCTAGGGCTGCATTGTGAGACCCTGTCTCAAAAAACAAACAATGACAAAAAGAAAATCAAGAAGGAAAGAAGGAAGGAAGAAAAAAAGAGAACAAATCTTAGGACAGGAAAATAATAATGCCTTTCTTGCTCTTGCCGAGGACCCGGGTTCGATTCCCAGCACCCACATGGCAGCTACGAACCATCCTTAACTCCAGCTCCAGGGGAATCCGAAGCCCTCTTCTGACCTCCGCAGAACTGCACGACATGGGTGCACTCACCTACATGCAGGCAACACACTCATACACATAAGATAAAAATAATAAATAAAATATTTTTAAAAATGTCTTTCTTTCCTGTCCCACAGCGATGGTGAATCATCCAGCTAAGCACATTAGCAAAATGCACCAACTCGGTCGCTCTAGTTATATATATCCGTATATCCATTTTGATGGGAAGGAAGCCAAGGTCTTAGCTGGTCCCATCTCTCACCTCAGGACATTCTTTTACCTCCTTTTTATTTTTACTTCCAATATATAGAAACAATCTCAGGGCTTCACACATGCTATATCCTAGCTTTATTTATTTATTTTTTATTTTATTTTATTTATTTTTTGGTCTTTTTGAGACAGGGTCTCCCAGTAGCCCCAGCTGTCCTGGAACTCACTATGTAGACCAGGCTGGCCTCGAACTCACAGAGATCTGCCTGCCTCTGCCTCCCACGTGCTGAGATTAAAGGCGTGTGCCACCACGCCCAGCTATTTATTTATTTTTAAAACGGGCTGTCATGTAGCCTCCAGCTTACAGTGTAGCTGAGAATGACCTTGAGCTTTTGATCCTTTTGTCTCTACTTCCCAAGTGCTGGGATTAGAGACATGTGCAACCAACAATTTTACAGGGTGCTGGGGATCAAACCCAGGGTTTCATGCATGTTAAGTAGGCACTCTACCAACTGAGCAAATACCTAGTCTCTCCCTCTTTTTTTGAGGAAGGGTCTTATGTAGGTCAGGCTGGTCTTGAACTGGCTATGTAGGCTGAAGATGACCTTGATCTTCTGATTTCCAGCTTCTACCTCCTGAATATTGGGATTGTAGGCATGTGCTACCTCATGTGATTTATATGGTGCTGGGGGTTGAATCCTGGGCTTTATTGCAAACCAAGCAAACCCTCCACCAACTGAGCTATATCTCCACACCCCTAGCCTTTAAAGATTTTTTTTTTTTGAGCCAGAGTATTTCTCAGTTGCCCAGGCTGGCCTTGAAATCATGATCCTCCCAAGTACCTGGGATTACAAGCATGCACCACCACGCCTAGCTTCTTTTACCTCTTGACTGGTGAACTCCATCCTGTCCAGCAATGAAGTAGACTCCAACAGCAAGGAAAAAAATGCTGATGATTTCAGCGAAGACAAAGCCAGACATGGTGGCTACATTTAGCTCAATGCAGTTCTCACACACTGTAGGGAACAAGACACAAGAAGGAACAGACTTCCTTTAGGATGTGAACGTTGTTCCTGGATTCTTTTCTCCTGCCCACCAGTAAAAATGACTCTTCCCAGGGCAGCCAGGCTCCTCTCTCTGTGGGTGATTTGGTAAGGGATGATCCTTAGCCCAAGAACTGATGCCTCTCATTAGTCCTCAGTGAGAAGTCCCAGAGGGTTGGGAACTTGCTCATATGAACTTATAGCAATGGTGACAGCATGTACAAGACCCATGAAAACTCAAACTAGACAAAAACACAGCACAGAAATAGGGAAATGGCTAAGAAGTCCCAACTTTAGCTAAGGAACAATTGGCAACTGATCACTGCTGGGTGAAGGAGAGTTGGCCTTTTTTAAGGGAGTGATGCTAGACAGCTTGACCAGGTTCCAGTGGATGAATTCATACTGAGAGACATTTGGGGATACAAACTTGACTTGATAGGCCTTAGCATAAATGACAGAATGCATGAAAACCAATGGTGAAGGTTATGGGGGGTGCAGATAGGGGAGGGGATCTAAATATGATTGAAGGTATATAATATGAAATACAAAAAAATTCAATAAAAATTTTTAATAAGAGAGAGAAGTCCCAGTGTAAGCTTGTTACTTACAATGAAGAATGGCTCCAATCCATGAGGCCCACCCAAAGGTTAACTAGGTTTTATAGGACTCTGATTTTTCAAGAAGCTGAGGGAAATGCCTTGCTGTATTTCAAGAGAAGCAACCCAAAATGAAGAGAGCTATTGCTATTTCCACAATCATTGCTTGCTGTACATTGCTGTCTCATTGTAGACATTACACTCACCAGAGCAGTTAGAACTGCTGAATTCGGGGCTGGAGAGATGGCTCAGAGGTTAAGAGCACTGACTGCTCTTGCAGAGGACCCAGGTTTGATTCCCAGCACCCACAAGACGACTACGAACCATCCTTAACTCCAGTTCCAGGGGAATCTGAAGCCCTCTTCTGACATATGTGGCATTGCATGACATGGGTGCACTCACATACATGCAGGCAATATACTCGTACACACAAAATAAAAATAATAAAATATTAAAAAAAAGAACTGCTGAATTCACAATAAACATCCCAAAGAGGCTACATACTTCTGTAAAACACTTGGAGTGGCTGTGACTTGTGCTTTGATCCTTTACACTGATATATGCCTCGAGGGTCTTTGGTACTACTTCCCAGATTCCATGTTTTTCTTATTTCATTTGAAGAACTTATTCTAGTCCCTTTAAGCCAGGTGATATTATTTTCTTTCATGTCACAAGTCAGAAGTACTGAGCCATCTTCTTGATTGTCATCCACTCTTACCAAATCATTTCCTGAAAAGGGAAAAGCCATAATTCTGTTAAGGCTCTTGCGTTTGTAACTGTCTCTGTCTCAGGGTACCAGACCAAGACCATTAGCGTTTCTCCAAAGTGTTTCGCCAACTTTGTGCACACAGCTCATGTGGAAATTTTGCTAGAATGTCAGGTTTTATTTAGTAGGTCTGGGGAAGGTGAGATTTGTGTTATAACATGCTTCTAGGTGATGCTAATGCTGATAGGTCAGTCATATCTGAAGACATGCATAGTTACCAGGGTCCTGTCTCAACTGCAAGGACCAGACAATTCATTACTTAGATCTAGGAATGCTGCCTAGAATGGGTCCCAGAAGGGACCTGATTTGGTTGACAATGGAGATATCAACTCTCTGCTTCCCTTCACCTCATCCTTTCTAAATTATGAGACCTTTTCAATAAGAATTTATTTTTATTTGTGTGTGTGTGTGTGTGCACACGCGTGTGCGCGCCACATTTGTGTGGGTGTCAGAGCAAAGGCCAGAAGTGGGTGTTGGATTCTTTGGAGCTGGAGTTGCAGGTGGTTGTGAGGCATCCAATGTGAGTGCTGGGAACAGTACTCAGATCCTCTGGAAGAGCAGAAAGACCCTTTTTCTTACCTTGTTTTGATTGGGCCATGATACCTGTAGAGACAGAAGAAAAGCAGAGGATCATGGAATTGTTCTCATGCACTAAGGTATTCACATGGTAACTTGAAGTCAAGATCAAGAGAGATTCTAATTAATGGCAATGTATTTGTGTCTACTTTCCTGAATGTTGAATTCAAGGTGATACTGGGCTTGGTCTTTGTCCTGGTTGTCTGGGTGAGAGTTTCTAAAGCCTCAGGAGTGATGAGTGTGCCTGTTATTCACGGTGGACCCTCAGACCAAACCCGAGTTTATGCTAAGGAACTGATTTGCAATGGGGCTGGTCAAGATTTACCCTATGGCTAGAGGATTAGGACTTTGAAGGGATTACTATTTATATTAGTACTTATACAGAAGTATCTGAAAGGTAATAGAAGACTATGGTATGGCTTCCATAATGTTGCCATCGGTAATTTTTGCAGTGATGCAGTTGTTTTGGGGTTGCCCACACTTCTGTAAGTAACCCCTCACCATTGTTCTATAAATAAGCTCAATAAATGCATTGGTTCACCAAACTGGGTGAAATCATTATTTGGTCTGTCCTTATTTGGTCTTGCCCTACTTGAAATGAACAGATGTTTGTTCATGTCTTCTCGGGAAAAGTTAACGTAACAAATTAGTGCTCAAAGATGAGTTTGGGAGGAGCAGTTTCATGGCTCTTGCTTTGGGTAGCAAGGTATGCAACTGAGGCTGAACCTTCTAAGGGTGGAGCATCAGTGGGTGCAATTCCACTATGGCTGCTCCTTCTCCCTGTGGTATGTGGTATGTGCTTTTTTTGCTATGGTAGTGGTTGCATCAATCTTGCTATGTGTATTAAGATATATAAGTAAGGTTGAGCCACTGGAGGTGAGCTGTCCATGGGGGAGATCCAAAAGTGGCTGTTTTAAGAATTAAAAAAATTCATAAAAATATGAAAGTCCTGGGTATGGTGGTGCAGGTCTTTAATCCCAGCACTTGTGAGGCAGAGGCTGGTGGATTTCTGTGGGTTTGAGGCCAACCTGGTCTACACAGCAAGTTCCAGACCAGTCAACACTACATATTGAGATTCTGCCAGAGGTGAGAAGAAACTATTGATTCTGCACAAGGGCAAAAGCTTAATAGAGGAAATGACATTTGGGTGAACCTTGAAGAACAAGTAAAACCTCAGCAGACTAGGAAATACATTTTGGGTAGGAAAAAAAATTGCTAGGCAAAGATACAGATTTGGAAGAGGACAGGGGAAATGGTATGGCTAGGGGGAGAGTTTGTGATGGGGGAGCTAGTCATGAGTCCAAGTATGACAGAAGTAGTTGAAACTTTATGAATGAACGTTGGGGGGAGCTTTATTTTTACTGGATGAATGGATACTGGAGTAAATGGGGGAAATGCCCACAACTTACAATAGCTAAGCAGATTATTTTTATAACCCTTGTCTCCAATCTCATGAATATCATAAGTGAGCAAACAGACTCTGCATTCTAACTCAGGTTCCATGGGAAAGGGACAGACATGATTGCTGATGTCATTGACTTCTGTACATCTGAGTGTGGCATCCTCTTGGGACTTGAGAGCTCACGTAGCCAAATATCTGGATTGACTGATGTGAGAACTGAGCCCAGAGGGCAGTGGTATTGTTCAAGTGCACACAACTCACTGGTGGCTGAACTGGACCTAGAGCTCAAGTTTTCTATTGTTCAACCTGGTACTGATTTCCCTCTATTCAGTGGCCTCTATCTGGCTTTTAGCACTGCATTTTAGCCTGTGTTGTCTGTGACTGGCTTTCTCCATTTTCTCTCAGAAAGAATTCTACACTCTTGCTGTGATCCAAGTCAGTTTCAGCAGTGACACTGCCTCTGGCCTCATTGTTTTGAGAGCACAGGTGCTGTATGGCCTTTTCTCCTGCTTCCTTTATATTTTCAAGCCTGCCTATGGCCAAAGTCACCTTCACCTGCTTTCTGTGAGTGTTGGTGAGTGACATAGTCTTTTCTGTTCCCTTGACTCTGCCCTCAGCTCTGTCTTTTCAACATCAAATCTAGTTCCTTGCTTTATGTTTCAACTTCTCTTTTAGCCAAAAATGTGTTCATTTCTCTCAGCTATTTTTTCTTCTTACACTCTATTTCCACTTTCCCTACCACCCCATCTCTTCTGCCTCTCACCCAAATATCTCTCAAATGTAGTCTACCCTTGCTGCTTTTCATCATCTATCCTTCACCACCACCTTTGCCTTTATTTTTTCATCTGGGTTCCACACATACTACTTCACTGAAGCTATTTTAATCAGCCATAATCTTCACTTTGTGAAATCCCATAGACTTAAAAAATATTCTTATATTAGTTGGCTATCTTTAACATTTCATACTCTTTTTGTTGTTGGTTTGAGGCAGGGTCTCATATAGCCCAGGCTGAACTAGAACTTGCTATGTAGCCCAGGTTGGCTTTGAACTCCTGATTGTCCTGCCTCCACCCCGAGAGTTCTGGGATTAGATGCTACTATGCCTAGCAAACATTTCATACTCTTGGTAACACTCCCTTCAAGAAGCCCTGTACTCTTGTGGGTTCTATGGTATTGTACTGTACTTATCTGATCTTTCCAACTCTTGAGTTTTTTTTTTCGGTCTTTTTTTTCCTCTAACTGTTATTCAAAGCTGGCATCTCACAATTCTATCCTCAGTCCTTTCTTGACATATCATTTAGTAGGTGGTGTTTTCAAGAATTTTTATGGTTTTAGCTAGGTGCGGTGGCTTAGGCTTATGATCCCAACACTTGAGAGGCCAAGGCAAAAGAACTGCTCATGAGTTGTAGGCCAGCCTGAGCTACAGAGTGACACCTTGTCAAAAAAATGGGGGTGTGGGGAGGGGCTGGTGAGATGTGTCGGGGGTAAAAGTCTTTGCTGCCAAGTCTCACAACCTGAGTTTGATTCCTGGGACTCACATGGTAGAAGGAGTGAACTAATTTCTTCAAGTTGTTCTCCATACCTTCACCATGGCACACCCACACCCACACTTACACACACACACACACACACACACACACACACAGGCACACAGATACTGACATAAACACAGACGTATAGACACACACACATAGGCACACAGATACTGACATAAACACAGTCATACACACACACACACACACACACACACACACACACACACACCCCAGATAAATGAAAAAGAAAAAATAATTTCCATGGCTTTAACTTCCTCCCAGGTGTCTAAGCATCAACTTAATTAATCTACTTCCTGTTAGATGTTTCAAACAGGCATTCCATGCTGCTCCTTATGCTCAGTGTGGCAACACTGAAACTTGTCTCTCCAGTGACACTCTGAGATTCTAGAGCAGAAGCTCTCTATTCATCTTCTTGTTCTCTGGACTGTCACATATCTGGAACTCACCATCCTTGTTGACCAACTGTGTGGGTGAATGTTCTATAGTTCTAGTGAATGTACCTTTTTCGTTCAATTTCCTTGTCTGGGCTGTGTGTGTGTGTGTGTGTGTGTGTGTGTCTGTGTGTGCCAGAGGTAAAACTTAGGTATCCACCTTATTTTGGGGGCAGCAGAGAGAATCTCTAATTGGCCTGCAGGTGGTAATTCCTTGAGGCTGACTGGCCAGTGAGCCCCAGTCTCTGTCTTTCCAGCGCTGGGATTAGAAAAATGGTGTCAACCGGGCGTGGTGGCACACGCTTGTAGTCCCAGCACTTGGGAGACAGAGGCAGGCAGATCTCTGTGAGTTCAAGGCCAGCCTGGTCTACATAGTGAGTTCCAGGACAGCTGGGGCTACAGGGAGACCCTGCTTCAAA